GAAACTCTCAACAAGTGGGAGCCAGGAAGGCCCCGCAGGGAAGTTGTCCTGTGTGGGAAAACTGATCAGTACTATCAGCTTTGACACTCCCTCCTCTCACCTTCCACCGTGGTCCACTCTGCCTGCCTGCCTACCAGACCTGCCCAGAGTGAGGGAGAGAGCAGCTTCTGTCCCAACAAAGGTCAGAGTCCTCAAACTAAGGTCCCCTCCCCCCCGCTTCCCTATGTAGCCTTCTCCTTGAGTGGGTAACAAATCAAAAAGACCATGAAAAGTCTGTTTTCTCTCAACCTGCCTGTGGGTCTCTTGTTGAGTACAGGATGGGATGGGAGACAAGACCCTTTTTTGTTGCCTAGTAAAACACAGGCCGGGCCAGGCACGGTGGCTCATGCCTGTAATCACAGCACTTGAGGAGGCCAAGGCAGGAGGATTGCTTGAGGTCAGGAGTTTGAGACCAACCTGGGCAACATAGCAAGACTTTGTCTCTACAAAAAATGTGCAAGCACAGGCCTGTAGTCCCAGCTACTTGGGAGGCTGAGGTAAAAATATCGCTTGAGCCCAGGAGTTGGAGGCTGCAGTGAACTGTGATCACCCTGAGTAACAGTGACATTCCAACTCAAAAAAAAAATCCCAAAAAGCAGAAGCACTTGCCTCCTCATGGAAGCACATGTTCCCTTAAACTTGGCTTTCTGTTCCTGAGAACGTGCCAGGCTGTGCAGGATTCCTCCCAGTGATGCCACACAGCCTTAGGGACATGCCCAGCCCAGGCACAGAGAACGTAGTGACAGAGAGCTCCAGGCGATGTGGAGATAGCAGGATTGCAGAGAAGCTTTGTGTGGGCATGGGTATCCATTGGGAAATGGCAGGTGTTCAGCTCCACAGAAGGAAAGCTTTCTGGCTCCATAACGCTGGTGGCTGTGCTGAGAGGTGCCTAAGTAGAGCCCAGTCAGCACCTGCCTGGGCCACCGGTGGGAGAGGAACGTCATACCCTAGAGAGGTGGGTGCTGAGCTTCTGTTAAGACTGTGGTGGGATTTTTCTCTCTGCGGTGGGCCTGGCCAGGATTCCCTGGTCCTCATGATTCCAAACCCTAGCTCCAGATCAGTGTGGAGACTTCTGAGCTGCTGTTCCCTTCCCAGATTTTTTTTTTT